ATTGATATTGATGCTCTGAAGACGCTTGTTGAGTCTAACCCAAGGCAACACACTTGTAAAGTGGTCCTGAAATTGCATGTCTCTCATGAAATAATACGTAAACATCTAAAGAATATAGGAAAACTCCATAAAGAAGGTGTTTGGGTGACTCACGAACTCTCCAATGATCATTGCTTCATCTCTTCTGGCATGTAATGCGCATGAACCATTTTTTGACAGAATTGTCACTGGTGATGAAAAATGGATTCTCTGTGCGAATATTAAATGCCAAAAACAAAGGCTCAGTCCTAGACAAAAAACCACTTTTGACTTGTGCATAGTGCTATAAGTAATGTAAATCACATTTAATTTTTCTTCTTTTCTTGTTAATTTTAAGTTAAGAAATCTATAAAAAGCCAAACAATTTCCAATGATAACCCTGGTAATCTCCTTCAAACAGTTAAAAAAAATGTTTCCAATATCATAGGTAAATAGATCAACCCAAGCTCTAGTTGTAGAAAGTAGAACACTTTACTATCATTCAGTTGAGGATCCCCTACTGGTAATATTTCGATTTCAATATTAAAATATTCTTTCCATTTTAACACTGTAAACAGATTATCAAATTTTGCACATGTAGGTCCAACAAATCTATAGTTATGAAGAGTAAACCATAACTGTAATCTAAGTCATATGATGGCTTGCATCATGAGAACAACTCCTGTTTATTCTCACTTTTTAAGTGTAACAAGGGGCTTAACTGATACCATCTATTACCCATCAATAAATTAATGTCACTTTTTTTAGATGAAAAAACCTGAACAATATGTATATATTAAATGAAATAGTCTCCATTCTTATTGATGATGCTTTTCCGTCTTACAATCAGGTTGTTAATGCTCTGATTATAGAAATCACTTGGCTTTGAAGCAAAAAACATGTCGATGTCCTCTTTAACACCTTCTACATTTGTATATGTTTTCCCATTATGATGGTGCCATATCTGGAGAATATGGTGGGTCAGAGAGAACTTCTCATCCCATAATCTTGTGTTACGTTAAATGTGATAACTGAATGGCGTTTCTGATGAAGGGCTTGATTTAAATGTTCCACATGTGAAATTTCAAATTTTTCTTATGCATAAAAGTATTTTTTAATCTGGAAATCAATATTACTTTGCATGACAGATAGGCAACATGAGTAAAACATTGGTTTATAAACCTTAAGACTTAATAAAAAAAAATTTATATTTTGCATATGAAAGCATTGTAATGTTTACTGATAATCTGCCAAATTTCATTAACAATCGCTTACTAATTAAAACTTTATAGCATGAAAACTATAAGAAGCACAAAATGGTTGTGGTTTCAGTCCCAGGGACTGAGCTCATGCTGAAAGAGTTATCTAATTAAAAGTACCACTTATAAATTATAATATTCTTCTTTTGTAGGTTTATTGAAACAGACAATAAATTTTTTACTTATGAAATTCTAACTAGCATCACCAGTAGGGTATATATAGACTTTGTGAGCTTATTAAATACTTTTTCAAAATTACTTGTAGGTTCATAACTTTGTTAGTTATAGGGTCCAGAAGAATCACTTTCACGTAAAATACAAAAACAAAAGTACTCAATATGTGCACCTCACTAGTAGTAAACAGTATGAGAACAAGTTGTAAGATTCCTGAAGTTTTCTAATGATCAAACTTAAGACCTTTTAGGACCTATTTCAATGTGAAAATAGTACATATTTTAATAATAATGAATCATTCAGGTTCTAAATTTATATGAATAGTAGTTTTAACATTTCACATTTCTTCAGTGCAATGTTTGTGGGAGAAAGGCATACATTGCTTATTTCATAATTGAAGTTTGGCAACTTTTGAACTAACAAACATTGTTCTTTTGACATGGTTTGTAGTGCTATGTATTAGCTTGACTGGGTTCCAGCTTATTTGATGATCAAATACTTTTATGTGTAGAAAAATAGCATTATTTATTTGACCATTTTTAACATCCTTTTTTCTACCTGTTTTGCAGACACCCTATTCCTTATATTAAGTGAAATGCTTTTTGAGGGTGTTGAGATATTTATAAACAACTTTAAAATTGTTATTTTTCAGGTATCTCTCTAAAGCCACATTATTGGAATTGTAGTTAACACTAAGTATTTTATTTTCACATGGAGATAGTGCTGGTTACTACTTCTAAGTAATGCCTTACATGCTTTTTCATTAGTATTTCTAATAAAGCCCACAGGTTACTACACTTATAAAATTTCTGATTAAGTATTTTTAATTTCGTCATCAATAGGGTGATGACAAATTCTATAAACTCTTAAAAACATTGAAGTTATAATTTATGTTTTAACTGTTTTATGGTGGCACAAGAAAAAGTTAACATACCTTTAAAGGGTTTGTTGGTTTTCTATAGATAGGAAAAACAGGTTGTGTTTTTGCTGTAGTTATAAGAATGTCTAAACAAGGAAGCAAATTATTGGTTTCCTATTCGACTTTAAACACAATAGTACTGTGAAGATTCTTAATCTTCTGGAAAAAAAAAAAAAGACTTGAATATCATTTCATCAACATATCAGTTCCAAGGGATTTTCTTGACACTCTGATCCACTGTAAGAAGTAATTCACTTTCAAAATACTCCATAAAGCTATTACATGGTATTGGGAATAATGGATTGCCCATAGCTATTCCATATTTTTGTTTGTAGTATTGTCCCATGTATGTGAAGACATGAACACACATTTCCAATAAGGAGATAAAAGTGTGGACCGGCACCTGAAGCAGAATGTTAAATTCAGATAATATTCTTTTTAGGAAGTTATTGTTTAATCAGATGATACATTTGTAAACAAAGAATCAATGTCAAAACTGACCATTTTTCCCTTCATTTATGTTAAGAGGTTTTTATTTTATTGGATAGATCTGTATTATTCTGAATATGTGTCAATGAAAACTTCAATAATTGTAAGAGGTTATAGAATTTATCATAAGACAGTTGGTGATGAAATTTAAAATATCTATACAATTTCTGAGTGAGTGTAGTACCCTATAAGCTTTATCAAAAATGTCCATGAAAAGGCAAAGAAGACGTTCTTTACAAACAGTAACCGGCTAACAACAATATATCTCCATGTGAAAATAAAATACTTACTGTTAATTAATTCTAATAATGTGACTTTAGAGAGATGTCTGAAAATTAACAATTTCAAAGTTTATAAATATCCCAACACCATTAAAATGTTTTTACCCATACAAAAGTCTGCAAAAGCATTTGTTGGTAAAACAGGTAGAAATTTACATACCAGACTTGTGGAACACAAAAAGGACGTTAAAAATGGTCAAACAAATAAGGCTATTTTTCTACACAAGAGAGAATTTGACCATAAAATAAGCTGGGAATCAGCCAGTTTAATATATAAAACTACAAATTGTATCAAAGTTTGTTAATTCAAAGGTTGCCAAACTTCAACTCCTTTCTGATGTCATATGCTGTTCAAGGAATTGGAATTTTCATTATAAAATAAACAGTATGTGTTTCTCCCACAAACAAATGGTGGACTGAAGTCTACAGATATGTTGAAACTAGTATCCATATACATTTGGTATTATTCTGTTAGTGTGGATTTAAACTTTTAAAGCAAACAAAATGATGGCAATGTGTTAAATGACAAGTCTTTATCAGATTTCTGCTAGAAAAGCAAAATAACAATATCTGTTAAAGCCAATATGGTCGATAGATTGCTTTCCATGTCTATGAAATCTACAAGTGCATCAGTTCTTCAGTATTTCTTTCCAATTCCACATCCAAAGTCTTCAACATAGATCTTTCCTTCATTCTTCTGCTCGTGTATTAGTCTTCTTCCCTGGAACCCCTTTACCTTGCCTTTGCAGTGGCTGCAAAGTTCAAGAGCTACTTGGTGATGGGTACCTTGGAGACTCCTCCAAACATGTTGACATTGTATCGTCCAGGATGTTGATGGAGAACCCTCATTCTTGTGTTGCTTGCCCATGAGATAGGAGAAGCAACTTTCTACAGCTGTTCCAAAGCTCAGGGAAAACTTTGTTCATTGTCTCATGCAGAAATGTATCAATCCTTGCACCAGGGTCTGGTGAATGCCTGGAAGCTGTCATCCTTGGCTGCTGCATCTAACAAGAAACTGTCTTGCTGTAATGAAGTCAGGTGTTAAAATGAAGCTTGTTACAAAATAACATATATATACTAAATTCTTAGTGGGCATGAAAGTGTTCATTTGTTATGCAATAAATGAATCAAGCAGCATTTAATTATTATTCTATTTGTGATTTATCTTAGTTCTTGACTGTTATTATTTGTACAAGTACATATAAACCGTTGACAAACTTGCAAAAATGTCTCTTTCGAACTGTTGGTCATGAAGAAGCCCCTTAATTTTTTTATGCATTTTTCTGGTTCTCTTGACTTGTAAATCTAAGCTGTTTATCTGTTGCACAACCTGATACTCAAGAGGTGACTAGTCCAATATCTTCTTACACATAGCTGATAAACTTTTCCTGCAATCATTTTTGAAGTCCATGGTTATGAGCTGGGCAATAGTGTTGTTAAAAGCCCATGTCAGAAGTTAAATAAAATATAAAAAATTATCAAAGCGTATACGTACTTTAGTATCATTACTGAAATACCTTATGACATAAACAATATATAGTTAAACAGTATACAAAATCAGTGCTTCTACCAGTGGTTAATGAGATCAGAATCAGGGTGAATAGTATTATCAATTATACAACAAATTCAAGAGTAAAAACAGTCATCAGTTATTATTATATATTCTAGCTGTAGTTTGATAAATACATTTATTTTATGTTGTATTCATTCTAATTGTAGTTTGATGTATATTTAAATCATCATAAAGAATTTTGCATTTTACGTTAGTACTTTTTGGTCTTTTTTTTTTCAAATTGGGGTGAGTGAGCTGTTGTGAAAAATTTATAGGGGTGAATGATATTGGAAAAGGTTGAGAAGCACTGTACAAAATCAATAACACAAACTTACATATTAATGAAAACATTCACTTTGATATTAACAATTTCTTACCTTCAATACAGACTCAGCTCCTATGCCAATATCCAAATCATTGTGATTGACACAGAACTCTGTATTCAGTACATCAATTTTACTTAATCACTCAGAAGTTTCAAGATGTTCCTTTTTTTATGAAACATGAGCAAACTGTGAAGGGAAAAGTAAAAAATATTTCAAAACACTTCATAGCTTACAATTGTTAAAATGCATTTTATACCTTCTGTAATAACTGAATCTCTCGATGATTTCCTATGAATGTTAATGTATTTGTGATTACTAATATTTATTATATATATATATGCATTAAGTATATTAACCTTGGTCAGTTCTGAGAGATCTTTGTCAGAAAAGGTGTGAAAGTCCTAGACAAAGCCATAAAGAAATTAAGCTTGGCAGGGATGAAGGGGATTTTGTGCAGCAGCAACAGCATCATATGGAGCAGTATGAGGATTTGAATTTTTTTGGTGCTTATTGGCTCAACATACTTCTTAATACTAAGCTAAATTTTGATCTCTCTCTCTCTCTCACCCTGCAATTGGTATATTGCCAATTCAGCGATGACCACAGAAGGGAAGATGTAACAATGATGGTTTGGTAAGTGTGATGTAATCTTCTCTTCTGACTGGCACATTATGAAAAAGGTAATGAAGAGATATCAATTGCTTGTCAATTTGTCTCATGCTGAATTCAGTCTTAAAGTCATGGGGCAGGGTATGTAGTCCACAGCTGATGACCATCATAAGCTGCAGACCACCAAATTGTTCTACATGTTCTCTCTGGATGGTTTCAAAAAATGTCCAGTTGACATTTTGTGTAAGTTCAACCTCTGTACACAGAAATATAAGTTGTAAAGATGAGCTAACATATTTCTGTGATTCTTTTAATATTCCCAAAACTACTACTATCTTTAATATATCTACTATTGAAAGTGGATGCTATATATTTGTTTGGCTAAGTTAACGTAATATTGAATTACAATATTATTACAAGTTCAGAACCTACTTTGAAATGTGTAAGGAGCTTTTTGGCCATTGATGACCCAAGTACCTTGACCGTACACATGTACTATTCTCATCTGTCATCCAGTACAGTATAAAAGTCTATTTGTTTAGATTTTGTTCAGGCTTTCATCAAACATAATGACATAGTTGTTTTATGGTGAATGGACCCAATCCAAACTTTGTCAAGTTTGATGTTTCTGTCTTCACTACTTCACTATCTGGGAACATAACTAAGTACAATAATTCATAATTCCCATAAAATCTCGACATTGAATATATCTTATCAACTTATCCCATGGTGTAAATCAAGTGACAGTTCTGATGTCTGGTGTACTTTGGGCACTTTTCTTACCAACAGGTTTATGTACAGACACACAGCTGTGCTGGATACAAAACTAGTAACAATACTCACTTCATTGCTGTTGTGAAAATAAATATTCTTTCGTCTCTCTCACTCTGCATATGTGAATCGAGTGCTTTAACATCCATAATATCGAGGTTAAAAGACTTGCAACATACCTTGCAGTAAGTGTTATATTTACTGCCATTGTCACACTTCAGCCGCTTGTAATAATTGCTATCTTCTTGTCAATAAACAAGCACTTCCTTGTTGGCCCAATGCTACAGTCTTTTAACAGTGTTGCCACTGAACACACACAAAATATTGCTATTTACATTAAATTTCCTGACTGAGTATGCTTGAATGAGTAAGAGATGATTGCGGGCAGCTGTACTTTGTCTCCCAAAGGAACATCAAAGTGATTACAATTAAAACTGTGTCACAGTAGATCTGTCAATTACGAGAATGCAATAATTTAATATTTAACCTGTCACTGATTTAAGCCCTTTTAAGTCCTTCCATAACAAATTTAAGACTTTTTCCAGGCCTTAAAAATGCAAAAACCTATATAATACTTTTTAAGGATCTGTAGGAACTCTGAATTGGTAATTAGACTATTAACATTGGTGGAATTTATTGGTTTTAAATGCAAATATGAAATGTTTAATTGTTCTAAATATGTGGTATAAAAAACTTTTTTTAAAGGCTGTTTGAGTACATCAAAGAAACTATACCAAAGAGTTTATTTGGTCTCTTCCCTCTCATTTTTTTATTTTACTATGTATAATATTTTTTAAATAATATTATAAACTTTCAAAAATGTGAAATAGATAATGTGGTATAAGATATAAAGAAAATTTATGAAAAATGTTACTATTTAAATAAAAATAAGACTACTGGAATGCATGCATATTTTTGCATAAAACTTTTATATAAAAAACAGAGGTACTTGCAAGTTGGACGAAAAACCATTACCATATATATATATATATATATATATAATTAGTACTGTTAATGTTATTAGAGTTGGCTTTGTGCTGTGGATGTAATGTTTATATTGCTACATCCTTTGGCACATTTAACTTTCTTAAACAAGAAAATCCAATAAGAATTTCAAGAAGTTAGAATTAATTTATTCATTTAAATTAAACAAGTGTGTATTGCCATGAGTAGCACATGTAAGTGGCACAAAAATACAAGCTATAGCAATTTAAAGCAAGCATTTCTCATTTCTTGACATCATATAAACTATTTTGTGTGATCTTGTGTTAAATGAAAATGCTTGTATTTTTTACCACTTTAATTTCATATCCTTTTAAGCATATATGGAATAATATTGTAGATCTTCATGATAAAAAAATACAATTTCCATCAGCTGTGCATTATATAAATATCTTCAAATATTACATATTTTGGTTGATACCTTTCTCAAAATCAATTAGATATTTAAATACTTGAGATCTATGACTGCTTAAGAAATGGTAGTGAAGTTAGCATATAAAAAGGCTTTTCTGATGGTCTGACTTGTGCTGTTTACAGGCATACTGGAATTATAATTTACTCATCTTGAATAAGGTTAATCTAAATTTTATTTTCAGGAGAACGACTGAAATCGGGAGATGATGATGATTTAGCTAATGTTGTGAATGTTGGAGCTAATGTAAGAGAAGCTCAAGATGTAGATTCTGATGAAGATTGAAAATACTGTAAATAATATTTTTTCTTTTTCAACAGTAAGTTGTATATACACGTATGCTGCAAAATAAACACTGGTTCACCATTTTGTGTATATCCATTATTAGTCATTCCACTTCTAGAAATCAGTTATCTAATTTTTATAATGTATTTTCAAATATTTTCCACAAAAAGAAATTAGAACAATAAGTGAAGTTGTAAAAGAAAAGCATTTTGTAAAATACAAAAATAGGTTACTTCAGTCAAAGCTAGTAACTTACACTTCATAATGTTTCTTATCTTTATAAGGGTTATAACCTCATAAAGTGTGTCTTTAATTTTAAAAAAAACATGTTTTCATAATTTAATATACTGTGGACCATACATTAAGGTTTTGAATGAGGTGGAAAAAAATCTTTTTTTTTTTTACCTTATAAAATCAGCAAAAGTAAAAATAAAAAAAATCATAAATGACCTCTCCATAGGCCTGATGGTGTAAGGGAGTAGGGCTGGTTTGTTGGTTCAGGGGAAACTCTCACTAACTGTGAAGGCGAGCAGAACTATTTTTCTAGATATAGTATTAGATTCCTCTATTATCTCACACACACACTGGCATAGCATTGGTCATGAATAACAACTGTATTGTACAAATATTACACTTGGCATGCTAATATTAATCACTGAAACTACTGTATAAAATGCCTAGTATTTACACTAGATAAATTTTTTTTACCACTATGTATAGGTATCAGAGGTGACATCTATGGGTCTCTGGTTCAACCAAATATCAGCTAGAATTTCAAATAGTGGCAGGAAAACCTAAAATATCATATGATGAATAGAGAAGTGAAAGGATTAAGAATTGTGCTTTGTCTTTTTTTAAAAATTCCTAATGTATATAGGCATATTTATAAATAAGCTCCCTACGTGTACGTTTCTATGCTGAAAGATTTAAGAAAGTTACTTTATAAATAGCTTGAAACATGGGAGAATTAAACTTTAACAGCTAAAGTCCTCAGATATCATGTTTCTTTTTTGGACATACAGATAATGTCCTATTTCTAAAAACCTTTGCATGATTAGCCAGTGAAGGTTTATTGTTAAAAGGCTTTTTTTCCAGAATTACATTGCCCAACAATAAGCAGTCTATAAGAAAACCGTTAAAGGAAGAATACATATTCATTATTATTCCAGTAGACAGGGATGTGATTGGCTAAATGGCCAAAAAAATGAAATTGAGGCAAGGGTTTGTGAGCTACCAGAGACTCTCGGAAGCCGAGAGATTTTGACACTTTCATACTCTAAATACTAGATCTCTTCTATATTCTCCACAATGGTAAGAACATCATAATAATATAGTTATGAAACTCAACATAGTCAAAATATACACTGTACTTGATTTAGTTATCTATTTTAATCTGCTTTTCACTATTAAAGTATATTTCTATTATATAATTTTGAATATCAGGCATTACATATGAAATACATACAAAGGTTCTTGGACCAGTCCCCCCAACGGCTCAGTGGTAAATCAGCAGACTTATGCTAAAAATTAGGTTTCGACACCAATGGTTGGCACAAATAATCTATTGTGTACCTTTGTGTTAAACTACAAACAAACAAAATTCTTGGATCAGTTGTAAAATCAAGAAGTAATATCAGAAAAATAATCAATGATAATATACATGCCAGTATATCAAACATACCACTTTTGGTTGGTCAGTGTGAAGGTCAAATAGCAGTCTCTCAACCCAACCCTCAAAAGGAGCACTTACCTTCTTGCTTGCATTGTGCATGTGGTGACACGAGTCTCCATCTACGTCCAATAGCTGTGGTATTTTCAGTTGCCTAATTTTTTCTCTAGTCTACTTTCGAGTCACACATGACAACATGGGAATCTATCAAAATGGAGATAACATTCTTCCAAAGCAATTTTAGCTTTGCAAAATGTTTATCCACACGGCTTTGAAAAGAGAATCAGTATTTAATATTTTCAGATCGATGGCAACTAGGTGTGACCAATACAGCTAGAACTATCACGTTTTGCTTGTGGCTTCATCAATATTTAAAGAAAATAATTCACATCTTTAGAATTTGAGTCAGTACAGTTTTCTTCAATCCATATGCGAGCTTGTATGAAGCATAAGTCTTGTCCGTTACTAATTTTCTAAAGTACTGTATGATCTTTAGCCAGTTCTTTGGCAAGATCTATAAGGAATGATGTCATTGAAAGTGGCAGGAAAAATTCTACAGTGAAACCAAGTACTGCTGCCTGATTATAAAAGCAGGAAATGAATAATTAATTAACGTGTCATATACACCTGTATGTGTTATGCAATGATACATGAATGAAAAATATAATGAAAATATCCAAATAAATTTCTACAATACACAAAAATTATGAAAACCCTTATCTACGTATGTGCTTATGATACAAAAATCATGTTTTTTTAAAGGTAGTCACTATACAATAATGTATGTACTATTATTTAGTGCTAAGTGTATAAAATAAAATTGAAACTTCATTTAGCATGCAAAAATGGAGGTAAACTATTGAACAAGTGTGTAGCTTTGGTGTTGGCACACATCTTTGAGCTTAAAACCAGATCTTATGTTAATATGTAGACCTGAGTTGTTACTGCCTTATACTAAATAGGGAAATAACTAAAATATGTAGTTTTGAGGAATGTTATTTGTAGGAATGGTCTATGCTTCAAGACACCTAAAGATGTAATAAAAAGTATGTGTGATATTTATTTTCCTTTATTTGATTTATCATTTGTTTATGGATGTACTAATTATGCTCATAAATTTAGTTAATGCTTCACAGAAATAGTCAAAATGCAAAGAAATGCTTCACATTGATCTTTTTATGCTTTTGGAATTTGCTAATCATGAAAATGGTTAAGCATCTGTCATAGCACATCTTACAGTTTACAAATTATAATCAATCTAGCCACCCGTTTATAATGCACTATGAAAATATTTACCTGACAGTTAGCTACATGAACACAAAGTGGTATTGTTGTCTTGTGGCACTCTCTATAGGATTGATGGTGATGTACATGTTTTCCTGCTACAGTTTCGAGATTTTTGCATGTTTAGCAAGTATCGTGTGATTATGCAGTGCCTTCTCTCTAGTTTTATAGTGTCATCACATGCAGTACCAAGAATCATGCCTGGCTGGGAAATCGTTACGTAGCAATGGAAAGAGTTTCCCATTCACCATGCAGCTTTCTTGTACCCAGTTCCAGTAAATTTGTTTTTTTATGCCCAAGTTGATAGCCATTGGTGGGTACAACCTTTGACCCTGATGGAACTGGCATCATGGATGGAATGAACTCATAAAAAAACAATTATTTTTATGAAGCATGAATCCTTGAATCACAAATATTAAAAAAATTTTCAGCCAAGTTATATAATTCACAAGGGTCATGATTTCGAGCAAAAAAAAAAAAAATTCTGGCAAATTGGAAAAACTTTAGACTTAGGTATTTTACATTTAGGCTTATCAAAAATTTAAAAGTAAGTTACCGAATCAAGCCCCTTGAATGGAAATTATTTTTTCCTTAAGAATATATGAAATATTACATTACCAAAAAAATGTTGTGTTTTATTTTCACCGACTATTTCATTACAGAAATATACTACAATTGTTACTGGAAGATTGTACTCTTAGCTAGCAGAAGCTGTAATATAATGAATGACATTTATTGGAATTCAACACTTTGTTGAACAAATCTCTGGTATTGAAATATATGGCCTTTTATCCTTAGTTAGAAAAAGTAAATTCCAAGTTAAATGAGATTAGTGAAACCTTTAAAGCTTCCTGTATAAAGGAGAGTAACAAATTACGAGTAAAACCAATTATAGCAGCATTTTATAAAAATAATGCTCTTTTACTGAAATAAGATAATGGTCGAAGATAGTAAAGAAAATAATTTTCAAACATGCAGGAAAACTTAATTAACAGACATGAATATCAGTGCCACTAGTAAAAGTCCTTAAATGAAGTTCCATAGTGTAACAGGAATTGTGATTTTTGGAAAAAAAAAAGAGTATGCTATACTCAAAAATTTAAATAGTGATATATATATATATTTATTTATTATTTTCGAACAGATGAAAAGTATCAAGCAGTATTTATGATGATTTAACATATTTATTCAACATAAGAAATGTATGATACAGTCTTAGCAACTTGTTTCCAGAACATGATCCAACATTAAAAATATTACTCTGTTGTGGTTAGTTTTTTTTATATTCCAAGTATGTTATATTCACAGGAGCTTCAAAGTACCAGGTAGTTCAAACAGTGTTTAAGTTATTGTCTTTAATATGTAGATTACAAGAAATTTCAAAACTGCTGTGTAGAAAAATCATTGTTTTTTTTGCAACCAACTTTTATACCATATTGTTTGGGTAGAAGTACAATGCAAACAGATAAGTTATTCTTTGTAGAAGATCTTAAATGAGTTCTTTTTTTAAAAAGTGGAAGTTAAGTTTAATTTATTTGATAATTGGGTACACGTGTACCAATATCAAAAGAGCAAATCCAGTATGGTTTAGGTCTCAGAGTGTCATGGTCAAGTAAATACATATTTTCACAGTACTCTAGGAATCAAGAGGCCAAGTGTTAAACTACTTGTATATGATGGTTTGGTTTATTTTACAGTTGTACTTCAAAATCATTTTCAAACTAGAAGTTCACTTGGAAGTTTTTGAAAATGTGGAGGAATATAAAAGTACTATTAACATCTAGTAATAGAGTATTTGTTTTTCAATGTAACATATATATACATTCCACAGTTCCAGTTCCTGCGTGAAAGTTTACATCCAGCATGGCTTCCTCACTGAACAAATCACAAATTTTTAGAATGATCTAAATGGAGAGTCTAGTGATTACTCAAAGTGCAACAATATCTAAACTATATTATTTCAATTACTGTAAAATGTCTGTACGCCACCTACGATTGATCAAAACGTAGTGTGCTTGTAAGGAAATTTCAAGCATCATTATAGAAAAATAGCATTCTTATGTCAGAAACAATGTGACTATTCAAGCATTAATGTAGAAAGATAGGATTATTACCATTAAACAACTTCCATTTCTGCTTGGAAAAGTTTTTACTTTAAAGTTACAGCTTTTAGAATTTGTTGAAGTACCTTTGAAAGCAAATATTTTTCCAAAAATACTTAACTTTAAAAGTTATCATTCTTAATTTAACAGTAAATCAGTTTACTTGAGTAAGGAAGCACATTAAGAAGACAGACAGGCTAATGTTCTGTCGAAACACATAGTATGTTCCACCATCAATAAAACTTTTCCTACTGCTTATAAATCATTGTTTGCCTACCTATTAGTATAGTAAATCAGTTTACTTGAAGGATGGAAACAGTAAAAGTTTTAACTTGTGGCTTTTTGGTTCCCAGAGTACAGGGAAATTATAAAGAAAGTCTTATGTTTAAAATATATATCTTAAAAATTATTTGTCCTAGAGGATAACAAATTTCATTAGACACACACACATTCAGATTTACTCAGTAATGTTTAAATGTGGTACACAGTGTTTCAAAAAGTTTACCAGTAGGTGTTAGTTATGCTTTCTTTTACTTTCAATAAGCATATAATGCCTATCCCTAAGCAAAGCAACTTCAAGAATCCACTGTGAAGTACAGTATTTAGTAATATTCACAATATCCTGTACAATGATATTTTATTCAAAGCACAAATTTCACACCATTGAAAAAAGAAAAGCCATTTAGGTGTGCAATAGATATGGTTTTGAAACAGCCTTTACCAGTCAAAACTTTTCTGAATAAAACTTGTGTTTTTGAATATGCCTGGTAAAATTTTATTCCCCTAGGATTTGTAGCTTTTAGTTTAATTTTAAATGTTTTTCTTAGACCATCAGGAATAATACCAGGTGATCCAAGACATTTATTGCACAAAAAACGTGTTTGTTCTACTTATTTCAATAAAAACACTTGTATTAATTCATATTACTATTTATTTTTCAACTGCAAAATGTAATACTAAGATTTAGGGTCAAAATAAAACTTATTTAAACACAGAAACGTTATTTCTCTACTTTTTATATTTTCAAAAGACTAAAAACACTGTTTTTAATAAACTTATAAAGAAATCAGTAAGGCTTCAATTTTGTTTCTACATTAATTCTTAGACCAATGCTACTAGCATCTGGTTCAACTTGGTTAGTTTTAATGTTTAAACATGTCAGAGAAAGTTCAAATGGATTTCATGTTGTTTCTAACAATTAAACTTATCATGAAAGTATTGAGTAACTAATGCAAGTCAGTCCAAAATTGTTTTATTGGGTTAAATTTAGTTTTAGAAACTAAAAATTACTCTTTACACAAATATATCTATTCTTTACAATAAAAAAAAAAAGACACCATTTTCCCATAAACACTAGACAGAACTGATTATGTCAAGTGTGAATTCCAAAAACTCTAAAACTTATTTTTTTAGATGAAATACAAAAAATCACAGAAGGGAAGAAAATAACAAGGTAGCATTCCAAAGTTTTTGTTTCTCAGTTTCAGGAATAGACAGATGTCCCAACTTCTGGAATGTCACTTATACAATGCTTCAAAAAATTTAGTTCATTCAAATATACATGCCATTTGATTACGTCTGGCAGATGATCTGTGCTAAGCTCTTTCTGAATGACATACATAGGAGTGCAACAGTTTACAAAACACTGTAGTTGTCCTTTCCACAAAATACATGTGGATGAAGTTTCATGGTTGTTTTAAAATACCTAACCGGAAAACTTGACCACTAGTGCAGCACCACAATACGGTTGCAAGGCAACACCTGAGGATACACTTTTTTCAGAAACTGCTAATTCTTCTGGGTACTTCTAGATGGACGTTTACCTTTTACAACAACTGGCCTGTTTTTAATAACACCTCTCTTCTTCTTGTTTGTCTAAAAGATATATTTCATAATATAATTTGACACATCTACTACACCACAGTTCACATTTAAGAAGATGCTTAAAGTATATAAAATACATTGAATCTAAAGTAGTTGTAGATCTGTTACTTTCTTCGAAAAAGGAAAGTAATAGTGGAGGTATAGTAAGACCATATTGTCTTAATAAGATAATGTAAACTGCTAGTAGTGAACAGACAAACAAATCATGGATATTTTTGGTTCTCTCTTCCCCTAATATGCAAGCAGAACTTCTTTATTCATTTATTTTTCACTTAAAATTTGCATAATATTTTCCTACAATTATTAAACCAAAAAACATTATAATACATGTTATTATTAAATAAATTGTTCTCCTACAGCTTATTACAAAATAAAGTTATTTAGCACCAAAGTTCACTCCTGAAGCACGTGAATCTTGGAAATTCCACATTCTAAAAGTGGTCAGGTTGTCGCATTTCTTTTCTAATGTTAACATCAAAAAATCACTACCACAGACAATTCATTTAATCGTTATGGTAGTAAAGATTAATTATTTTCAAAATAATGTTGAACCTTCTTACTTCAAAGTGACAAAACCCCATACTATTGGTCCACGTATTAGGTCTCTCCAAATATTTTATTTATTATGTAAACATCTGTAATATTTTTCCTCTTTAAAATTTCCACCTTCATAATGATCACCAACTGACTACATATTATCTTACAAAGTAGTTGTAGAACATCATACTATAATTCTGCTTATCAGTATGCATTATAAGCATCCACAGTGAGAATTTTAGCCAAGAAAAAATATGCAGGCACATTATGCACTTGATGACAAACAGCCTGCCTGCAGCAGAGAGTTGCAAAGCTGAGTGAATAAATCACTACAACTGCTCTATGAATGGAGAAATAATAGCAAAAGGCAGATATATATATACTTCACTAACAGTTTTGTACAATAACATTAAAACCTTAAAGGTTTTAAAAAGGTCTGACATTAGGTCATACAATAACATAAGTTTATTTATCAATAGTATAATGTACAGTAAAGTTTAGTCCTAATTAAACTAAATTAAAAAATGTAGACGTATTACAGTGTTAATTTATTATCCCTTTATCAAACTTAAGTCTAGCATTGGTTAAGGTTTTATAATGTACAGCCTATATACAAGTGGACTTCCACATTTCGATGTCTACAATTACAATTTGTTTGTATTATTCTAGAAATCCTATATTTAAAATGTAGACGTATTACAGTGTTAATTTATTATCCCTTTATCAAACTTAAGTCTAGCATTGGTTAAGGTTTTATAATGTACAGCCTATATACAAGTGGACTTCCACATTTCGATGTCTACAATTACAATTTGTTTGTATTATTCTAGAAATCCTATATTTAAAAAAGTATTATTGCAATAAACATACTAATTTGACCACAAATGTTTTGTGGGGTCTCTGCTAGTTTCTATTATTGTGGCACTTGTGCATAGTACTATTAGTAATGGAAACAATGATCATTGGAGAGTTTGTTTATGGAGTTTTCTCATATTCTTTAGATGTTTACATATTGTTTCATGAGAGACATGCAATTTCAGGGCCATTCCATGGATGTGTTGCCTTGGGTTAGACTCAACAAGCATCTTCAGAGCATCAATATAAATTCCAATATGTCAGCCCCTGCCATCACAGTTTTTAAGGCTAAAGTCACATGAATGAAATTCGCTAAACCATTGTTGACACTTACGAACATTCAAAACATTTCCATAAACTTCTTTGTGGCTACAGAGGCATTGTTTCCTTCTTGTATTTAAACAGCATTATATGCCGATTGTGTTTTTCGTTGTGTGCCATAAGAGATTAGAGGATACTAAACTTTACACATTATATAGGCTACATTAACATCTACAAATAGTGGTACTTTTAAACATTGTTTTTGAATGCCATAAGTTTTATAATTTTTTACTTGTTTTTCATATTTAAAATACTATTTGCCTGATGAGGATCATGCTGAATGTTGAACTTTACAAGCTTTCACTGCTCATTGCTAAATGAAAATTCACAATGTCATCTGTAGTTTTCCTCAGTTTAAATTATATAATAAGTAATAAAATATACATTTTTCACTTACATTTAATGTATGGTTTTGAAAACTGAAAATATCTAAGTAGTTCTCATATTTTTAAGAAGGAAGTGGATTTGAAGTTCTCAAAAAATATACAGTTTTGATGTATAAGCTATCCAAGTTTTTTAGGATATTTCATATGATTTTCCCATGTAGAATGTACTAGGTCATGCATAAACTTGTGTATTACTCTAATACGAAGACCCGCAAAACAATTGAGGGCAAATTAGTATTTTTATTGCAACAGTACTTCTTTAAATACAGAATTTCTAGAATAATACAAAATAAGTCTAATTGCAGACAGCGAAATCTATAGTTCAATTATCTTAGGCCTAGCAGTAGTTAAGCCTTTATTAAATACAGCCTATATTCAGTAAAGAGATAAATCAACACTGTAACTTGTGTAGGTCTTTAGCTTTAGTTTAATTAGGGCTGAATTATATTGTATTTAATACTATCAATAAATAAACTTGTTATTCTGTGACCTAACATTATACCTTTGAGCTTTTAATATATTGTAAAAATGTCTACTAAAGTATGTTAACATCAATTGAAATTGTGTGCATATATGCATTTAGATATTAAGGTGTGTGCCCTTTTTTTTTATGACAACTAAAACTGAGTATTATTGTATTAGGTCATCAAGAAATTAATGTCGCATTTTGGAACACTTTCATTAACCACCCCCAAAAAACGTACGTCATGTATAATACTTAAACGAAGCACCTAAACGTCTTCATAAATGTGTAAACATTACTTAATAGCCATAAACCCTTTTGCAATGGAAGCCCCTTTAAAAAGTTTTCTGCACAAGTCACTGCATGTTTTCTTATAGCAAAGCCACATTTGGATATCTGCTGTATCCACCGAGGGGGAATCGAACCCCTGAGTTTAGCGTTGTAAATCCGAGGACTTACCGCTGTCCTATCGGGGGACACACACAAGTCACTGTGTTAAATTAAAAATTTAATTAAACACCTTTATGGTCTACATGTAGATGTTACATGCATGTGTATACTCATTAGAAATAGTTCATTTTACACTAAAATCTAACAATAGTTATTTTTAAATTGGCATGCAGTTGTATCCATGAATTACATGTAATTGACTGTAGGATTGTTGGCTGTTTGATCGACTATAGCATTTATGGTGTTTTCTTACCTAAATATGTTATAGTTAGAGATACAGTTTAAACTATATTTAGGTCTTACTACTATATTTTAGTTACTTATATATTAGTTATGTTTTAAAATGCATAATTAAAAGACTTAAACATTTTTCAAATATTCATCATACTTTGCATCTGTTCTCAAGGTTTACTATATTACATGCTGATTGAAAATTTTGCCAGAGTTAGGCATGTCTCTCAAAGAAACTGTAATATGCCTTGAGGAGGGCACCGTTGACTTATGTCGAGATGAATAATACATGGTAAAGGACAAGAAAGGAAAACGGAATATTAAAAATTAACTATATGTGAAAACAAAAAGACCTGAAATTACGAATTTAACAAAGGGAAAATCTTTAAAGATATTCTCCAAAAAAATTAAAAGGTATGTATTTGTTTTCTATTTCCTAATTTTAATTATTTAATTGCATTGTATGTTGATAATAGCTAGAGTTAGTGACATGGTAGAGAAAATGAAAAATAAAATATAAACATTTACCTTAAAAAAACTTTTGATATCCTTTTAGGAGGTTCTAGAGATTATGCAAACAAAAATCACCTTGCACTCAATTTGTTAATAATTTGAATGCAAGTAAAAACAATTATAATAAAGTCATTCTTTTTGTACAAGATACTTATGATCTTTAACAAAATCTTACAAGTTTTTGTTAAGAAACCTCAGAGTTACCAGATGTATTGTTGTAGAAGTAAAATTCACGATTCAACTTCTGCAAATTGCACGAGTCCACCACAAAAGGGTTACCATAATTGTTTCAGATAATGATTCACAGCTCAGTATTTTACTACTTTCAAAATATTTTGCACATTTTGAATTTAAAATTTATATGTACTAACTTTCTTATTTTTTAGAAAAAAAGACAAATGGTGGCTTTATACATAGATCACTATAGGTTTTTCTTACTGCGGACTGACATACTTTTCCAAATAGCAAATTCAAATCACAGACCACTATCAACATTCATTATACCCTAACAAGTTTACTTAGATTTTATGCAAAATTATGAATAAATTCTTGTCATAAATGCTGCAATTTCTGTTTAAAAGAACTTAATGACATAAATGGGAAAACAGTAATGCTCCAGACTAGCAATCTATAGAATAAGTTTTTTTAAATGTATTGAGGTTTTCTTTACAACCTTTTATGTACTGCAACTGAAAAGCAGTTAATTCATTGTCATAAGTGATGCATGTTATCAGATGATTATAAAGAATAATTCAAAGTCTATGATGGCATATAACACATCTCAGAAAATATGCATTAACAACAAGCAATATTCAACATCTGAGTGTAACAGCCAAGTTGACTTAGTGTGCTCTTCTATTTGCACAAGGCATGTACATAAATGAATGGTGATAAAAGCTTTGATTATTTTCTGCGAAGCACCTTTCATTTTTTAAACAACAAGAATGTATCTGAGGACACACTTGAAGTTATAGAAGTGCAGATATATGTATGAGTAGGTTATAAAATTACTTGCTGATATTCTAAAATACCCATTTATGTAACTGCAGTTGTAAACTCTCCAGCTTGATCTCTTTTCATTTAGAAGACAGACATACCACTACCTTCCCTTTTTATGTATCTCTATAGTATCAAGAAGCAAATTACTGCTTCAGTTGTCATGATTGGTGTATGTGTAACATGCTCAACCATGTACACACTAAAAGTGCAAATGTATGTACTCTGCTTCAGTTTGGGTGTGAAAGAATAGTGAGCCATGCACCATTTTGTATTTGTGGCCAAGATCACTCACTTAAAACAGTTATAGAGTAAAAATATTAAGGAAGCATGCTATTAGCTTCAATATTTCTAAGAACATCAGCCCTTAAAATTTTGTTGCTCTCTAGTACCACAGATATTATTAGTTTGAATACCACTGTAAGAACAATATACTTAACTACAAAGTTGTTGCTCTTCTCTACTTTCTTGAAACAGAATGACTGAATAAATTAGGTCTCTCATTACTCACTAGAAAAAATACCAGTATACATGCAAGAGTTAGATAAGTTACAACCTACCTTCTTTGAAATAAAACTCTTCTTGGGTTTAATTCTTCTGTTTCCGTACGGAATTCGTTGACGGTTGCTTTGCTTCTTGACTCTATAGACACGAACTAGCCAATGTTCTGTAGTATAAGCCTCTTCTAGATACTCCAGTTTAATATTCTTATTTCCAATTTCCACGTTTCTAGTTCGATCAAATCCTGATGGACTCCGAAGGTCCAGCTAATAACAGTAAAAAGTTTACTAATATACATTCTGGACATTTATACATAAAATGCATACTTTATATTGTTAACTCAGGGAATACCTCAATGTGTTTTTAGTCTAATATAAACTGTATATTATCTATAAAATTAATCCTTTAAAGTATTTCTTGAAATGGTTTTAAATTATTTTATGCCAAAAAAGATGAAAAACTATTTGGTCTTAATCACATTGAAGAAAATAACACAAATCTTATTTTCTAGCAAACTAACCTCTAAGTAAAACCATATAGGTTGTGATGATTCATATTGATGATTATCAAGTGATGGGAAAAATGTTGGCAGTAAGAGAGATTGTGTAATTTGTATCAAATTGCCTACAGACAGAAGGGTGGTATAAAAAGAGTAGAAACAAACCTTTCTTGTTCATTGTTTTTGAAAGGTTTCTTAAAAGAATGTCTACACATTAGCATTGCATTAGTAAAGATTTATTACACCACTGGTCAAAACATCAGTGCAGAACTGTAATCATGATAATATGAAACTGGTGGCCACAAAGGGCCAAGTATCAAAAACTGATAAAAACAATTTTAACAAGCATGGTTTGCTCCAATGGACATCAGAGTGGTCACCTTCCAACACCAGCAGAAGTAAGGAAAATTTTCATTCATGATCCTAATGAAAATAACCATTGATACAAAGCTTAATTGAATTTTATGGACTGATAAGGCCCATTTTTCTTTCCATGGCCAGGTCAACACCCAAAGTTATGTTATCAGTGGAAATGCAAACCTACACGCTTTAGTGCAACAACCACTGCATGATGAAAAAGTCATTAGGCCATTACTTTCAGGATGCTACTGATAATGGGTTTTGGACAATGACAGTTACTAGGCCATGAAAAACCATGTTAGTCCCACACTTCAGGGTGGAGTTGTTTTGGACAAAATGTTATTCATTAAAAAAGGTGTTCTGCTCCATTCTGCACAATCTGTGAAGAGATTGCTGTGGAATGTGTTTGGATATTGTATAATTAAATGAAGCTTTTCTTTCACTTGGCCAGCACATTTCCCCTGATTTGACTCCTCCACCAAGTTTTGATTTTGGAGCTATCTGAAGTAACTGGTTAAGCCATTGCTCCTGCCAGCTTTATTGCCCAGAAAGACAGAATCTGTCACTGGACATTAGATAGTTTTATATGCTACGTTTCATGTCATCTCAAGAATGAAAACAATAGTTATCACATTGAAAAATCATATTTAATCATCCAGCTATGCATAGTTTAATAAAATGTGTCCCTAGTGTCCACTTTGCCATAAACATTATTCCCATCAATTGATTTGAAATTATGAGACTTAGAATAGGCCAACTAACTTTTACACTACAAACAACACATGTATAGTACACACATTTGTTAAGTAATTCTCATTTCTTTTTCACTTGGAACCATTATGTAATTCGACTTAGAATAGGCCAACTAACTTTACACTACAAACAACACATGTATAGTACACATTTGTTAAGTAATTCTCATTTCTTTTTCACATTATGTAATTCATTTAAATAGTGATTTTTATTCAATATCGCAACATACTTTATGCATGTTACTGCAATTATAATACTGATTACTTTAAATGTTTTGAGCAAAATGTTAATTTGAAGTTGCGACAGGTAACCAGCCTAGGTTTTTTTGGTATATCAAACAGAAATTCAATGTTTTAAAACCACATTCTATCATAAGCCTTCAAAGCATCACCCAAACCTGAAGGTTTGCGAGCATGTTTTAAGGAGATAAAATTAAAAATTAGGGTATTCATCTTAAAAAAAACAACAACAAAAACTTCACAATCACTTCCGTTATGTCATATCTCTGACAGGAAAATTAACTGCAGACAAACACTGTTACCATTATATCTAGTTTACTGAAGCAAATGTTTAAAACCATTCAAATGCGAAGACAATTTTTTCATAAGACTCATTACTGCACATGAGAAGTGCTTGTAATGTTATGATCATTACACAAGAGAATGTACAGGTTTCACACCAATTCAAAATTGATTAAAAGTAGTCTCCAGTCATAGAAAAAAAACAAAAAACTTAGGTGTTTAAACATAAAGAGTAAAACAACTAACATGCACACCAATAAACCAACTGTTCAATTCAAGTAAAAATTAAAAACTGGGTAGTTCTTTTAAAAGTTTTTGCACACAAGCTACAGTATTGCATTAAACACACACAGTCAGTATTACAATCTATCTAGTATATATTAAAGATGAGGTACTTGATCTTAGCGAAATCACAACTTCACCTTTTCCAACATTACATTCTTGGTTTTCACATGTACCTGTACCCAACAATTAGTTGTTTGGAAAGAGAACATTGTATACAAAAGCAATAATTAGCAAGGGTTCTTGCTTGTCATACCTAGGTGCTTGTTTGAAAATATTTACAGAGGTATTTGCAGTCAAACATCAAACGTGATGATAGGCTTTTTTGCCAGTTTATATCACCACTAGATTTTTAAAAATACATGTAACAGAAGAGCCTCTTCCCTCAAGTAAAACACCCGTTTAAACAGAGCAAACAGAAGGTAAGATAGTGCTGCTAGTAAGAGCTAGCAAATATGTAGTAAACAGAATTAAAATTTTAAACAAGATATAACTCCATCTCACCTGAAGTTCACCAAATCTATAGTAGCTAAGTTTGTACATCAAACAGTTCAACAAGGTAGGAGACCCATGCTCATCAACACGGAATTCTCCACGATCTGTGAAATAGTCACTCTCCTAGGAAGAGAATTTCTAATTAACAAAAGTGTGTGGTACTTAAACTAGTAGATTTAAAGTATTTTATGCAAAATTTTACAGTTCTAAAATAAGTTGAAGCTTGTCAACCAAAATGTTTTCTTAATCTAATAGTACTACTACAAAGGTATACTTCTAAATATTGTATACTACCTAAGATTAGCTGGAAAATGATTTATAACAACCAAATATTCTTAAAACTATAGCAATATTTAGTGTAAAAAACTAACTTCAGAAATGCTTCACAAATACTGCTGAAACCTTTGGAGTAATTCAAAATGTGTTTGTATTAACCCTATGCAAACAATAGGTCAAAGTGTGCATGTAACAACCTTTTTTTACAGTTATATTGAAAACCTAATTAAACAATTTTATTATCAATATGTGTCAATAAATGTAGATCAAAATTTAGCTTATAATTCAAATATATATATTATGTAAATATTGTTATGTTTTGAATAGTCAATAGTCTGAGCAGTAATGGAATTTTTTGAAGCTATTTATAGTATAGTTAGAAAGTCAGATAAATTACAGCAGTTTCAAAACATCTTATTTTCCAGTACCCGATATACTTTTTGTTCTAGATGCATATTTGAAAGCAACATGAATTATTTTGTGGACAGCCAACAGTGTGAAAAATGGAGTTTCATTGAAGTACTTTTCCGAGTACAAATAGGCCTATAAAGCTAAGTACTAAATTTTGTTTTCTTCTATATTTATAGTTATACATTTCTTGATTTTATTTTACATTTCCAACTTTTCTCATTGTATACTAATGATTTCACTACAGTTAGTGTTAGGGTAGAAAAAATAAGAGTTAAAATATGAAGGTTTATTGAAAAACTTTTGATATTTATTTTGAAGGTTCAAATAAAATATGAAAACTGTAAAATGATAAAAATATTTTGTTATTCTTAGCATGAAAAGTATTTTTCACTCAGACTGACTCAGTGAAGGCTTCATAAATTCCTAGACAAGTCTGTAGTAAAAACATTATTGACAAATGTGATTTTTGTGACAACAGGTTGTAATATTCACTAAAAGTCTGCCAAATTTTGTGTATATTCACAGTTATAGTATGTATAGTTTCATCATTACATGGTAGTTAAAAGGTCAGTCCAATTGACCTTTTAACCTCCAACTGACCCTACCTATATGTATAGAGTTCACGGAGATATAAAATCTGCTATGCCGTTCTGAAAAATAAAGCATTTTATATTTGTTTCATTTCAAAAGTACAATTTTTATATATATCTAAAATGGAGTTGTCCATCTGTTTGTCTAATGTGATAAAGAATTGACTTAGCTAATCAACAAAATTTGTTATCGGAACATAGGTAGATCCCCAAAAGTCAAAGTTAAATGGATAAGTAACTGGATGAAAAGTTCAAATTTACCATCATAATACCATGAATGAAGCCTCATCTAAACAAGAAGGTTGAAACTGAAATACTTAGAGCTGACAGCAAATGAAGAAATACACTTAATACATTACATAGCACAGGTGCCTTTTCATCAGAGGAATGGTTTTTGTGCTTCTGCTCAATATAATGTAATGGAGCAAACCACAACCATTTGTAACATTGCTTTTTTAAGCCTGCATTGTTAGTATAATTATATGTTTAAAAGATCCCTCGTGCTTTCTGATCAAAAGCTAAAGTTATATGGAGGATATATCAATATATAAATTCTTAAAAAGTTAGCCCCCCTCCCAAACAGTCCTAAGGGAAGAATACAGATTCTTAAATTAACAATTACATTGGGTGCCTTCATCCTTCAACATATGTGTGTGTGGAGGTTACTTCAATTTTCAAACAACTGGATATCAGTTCAGCAAAAGGACATCTTAGGCAATTGTGATTTTTATTTTGTATTAGAAGTTTAACACACTTTGATTATTTCAATACAAATAAAACAACTTATTCAATTTTTAAAGTTCATATTCCTCATTGTATGTGTGGAAAATTACTTCAATTTTGAGATAAGTGAGCATTGGCTCAGCAAAATGGTTTCTTATGTACAATAACTGACCTTGTTTTTCTCCTATATTTGTTTAACTCCATTGTATACATAGTACAAAATTTGGTTATAATCATAACAAAGAACTGTGTAATCATGGTGAAATTAATTAATAAGTGAAAAAAAAAAATGCATTTGCAGCATTTCATGTACATGTAATTAAATCAATCACGCTTTTTTACAAAATTAAAAATAAAGACAAACTAATAAGTTTTATATGTTCTTTGAGAATCAGTGTTGAACAAAAACAAAAGTTTAAGAATGTGAATCATTGTTTTAACCCTTACCAGACCAGCAAGCACCTTTCACGAGTCAAGTGCACACCTGCATATCAAATTTCAGTGATTTTTTAACTCATAAATAACTTAGAACCAATATTTTGTCATTCTGTTACATTTACTTAGTGTAACTCCCAAAGAAAAATAAAAAAAATATAAAATGCACTTAATATTTTTACAGTATTTCAACCCATTCCAAAGATTTTTTATTTGCTAAGAAACTATCAATTCTCAAGGTTTTGTTTCTCATGTGATTTTTTTTCCCCTTTCTTTGATTTTTATTAGGATGATCTCTTAGTCACACCCTTTCATGACTTCACGTCATGTGATCAGAGCAACTACTAAATTAGCTCTGCTTTTAAAATAGATAAAGGAAAAGTTTAAACATCATTGGATAAAGCAAATTATAAACTATTTAGATCAATGTAGAGTGAATAAAGCGGAGTGAGAAGAAATTATTGTGAAGTTTAAAAGACTTGGAAAAGAAACCAAAGATCTAGGAATTTTATTGTAGTTTATTTAGACATAATTTTTATTCCTAAAAATGTCTATGTTTAATTATATTTCATTGAAAGCTATAAAACGTTTCTTCTACAAGACATCAATTAGGTTTTGAGAGTACATTAGATGACAGCAAAATATCCCAGTGACTCAAATCCTTATATATTAAATATTTGGTATTCAAAATAATATGTGTAAATACAAGAACTAATAGTTTATTGAAAAAGAAAAGAATGTTTACTATATATCTTGACCAAGAATATTTTTGCACCAGTATGGTTACTTAACCTGACTTGATGTTATTCTGAAAGATTAAGCCGTAAGTTACTGATAAATCTATGACAGTTTCTGCAATTTTTTTGTATGATGTATAGCTAGTAAATGTGACTGCTGGAAAATATATTTAAACAGAGTATGTTAATGACTATCATTCAAGTTGAAATTGACTGAATATATAAAATGATAGTTCAAATTGTTAATGTTTTATTTTTCCACAACAAAACTGGAAATTTCAGGAGAGAAAAAAAATTTAGAAAAACTAAATTAAATTATATGAATTTCTTAAGCCAAATCTATATACTATTTTGTAAGTTTGTCCTAAGTTTTTTGCAACTTGATACTTTAAGTACTTCCTGTGTAAGAAAGAAACAAATCGTGGGATATCAAAGACATCCTCCCAAAGTCCTGAAAGGATTAACAGAATGTAGTAACAAAAGTATACCTTGATTTCTTTTGGATGCTCTCCTTCTGCAATCCGAACCATCCACAAGAACTTGTTGATATCATCTCCCGAGTAACCGATCACTCCCCCAAAAATAACTAAAACATAATCAACATCCAACATAGTCATAATTTTATAGGCTTCGCTTTCATTGGATGCCATTGCTTTACCCACCTAATGATAGAAAGAAATCAAAGATAAGTCTTACATGTGAGAATACTAGCTTAATAACAAAATATTATTAATGTTTGTAAATTAACTTAAGTAGAACAAGACAGAAATCGTATGTAGTGCTCCAGTTTAATATTTAACATGAAAAAAAGGCTTTTGAAACCAAAATTTGTATTTTTCAATGCTTATGATTATAATACTTATTTAACCACCCACTTATATGTGTCCATAACATTAATTATTCATTTTAAAGTTAAAAAACAAAAAAAAGAATGACTGTGTGCAGCATTTTTTTCTTCAAACTATACAAGTGACTCACCAAAGCTATATGACTATTGTTCCAAGTGTTGTTGTCAACCAATGTTGTTCTGTTACCCATCCCAGCTATTTGGTACCCATAATCCCACCATGACATCACTCTTGCATTTTCTGGTGTGTTCTGCCATAACCAGTAATAAGCCTCTCGGAAATCATCCAGGATGACTCGAGACCTGAAACACATTATCAACCAATTCTATATATCAATCTGAAATGTTCACACTATTTAATACTAATACTTTGATACTAATAACTATCCCGTACCATTAATATTAATAACTATCCCATACCATTAATATTAATAACTATCCCGTACCATTAATATTAATAACTATCCCGTACCATTAATATTAATAACTATCCCGTACCTTTACTACTAGTAACTATCCTGTACCTTTAAATACTAGTAACTATCCCGTACCTTTAATACTAGTAACTATCCTGTACCTTTAATATTAATAACTATCCCGTACCATTAATATTAATAACTATCCCGTACCATTAATATTAATAACTATCCCGTACCATTAATATTAATAACTATCCCGTACCTTTACTACTAAAAACTATCCCATACCTTTACTACTAATAACTATCTTGTACCTTTAATACTACTAGTTATCTTGTACCTTTAATACTAATAACTATCCCGTACCTTTAATACTAATAACTATCCCATACCATTAATATTGATAACTATCCCGTACCTTTACTACTAATAACTATCCTGTACCTTTAATACTAATAACTACCCTGTACCCTTATTACTAATAACTATCCTGTACCTTTAATACTAATAACTATCCTGTACCTTTAATACTAATAACTATCCTGTACCTTTAATACTAATAACTATCCTGTACCTTTAATACTAATAACTATCCTGTACCTTTAATACTAATAACTATCCTGTACCTTTAATACTAATAACTACCCTGTACCCTTAATACTAATAACTATCCTGTACCTTTAATACTAATAACTATCCTGTACCTTTAATAC